TTGTCTGCCTCTCCATTCACCAGCCCGCCCAGCAAATGAGTAATTTCTAAATCACCTCGAGTCGGCTCTGGCCATCCGAGACAGCAACTACAGAAACACGTGTCGCAGACAACGAGCGAGAAGCACAGATCCACACAGGAGACTGTCACAACCCAAGGGTGTGATTTTTGTTTTGTGTGCGCTTTGGCGCCACTGAATTATTTTCCCGCCAAATTGTAGCTTTCTTTGCAGTGTGCATTTCTTCTTTGCAGCACAGAGATGCACGGTGCAAAGAGTTCCCGCCATTTGTATGATAATTCGAGCCCCATTATTGGCTTGCGTGAAATTATTCACACGTGGTGGCTAGTGATTGGCTTGCTGGCCGTATAAAAGGCTTGGGTGGTTTCCACCCAAGTTGGAGAACTCCGAGGAGAACCCCCGCAAGGGAGGACTCCACGAACACCAGGAGGAGGAGACTTCACACTGTGTGAAGATCTCTAAGCGCTGCGGAGCCTATTGGACCCAGTGCATTTCAAGCAGGCAACAGAGGTCTGATCAGCCTCTAGCCTCTCCCCGTCGCCATTCACAATCCTCGACGTATCCCTCTCCCTGCGCGCAAAAGGACCCACGGAGCCTAGCAAACTTCGTGTGAGTGAATTGTGAGTGAACAAAAGGATCCACGGAGCCTCGACAACTCCGTGGGAGTGATCCGAATATTGTCTGAGTCCTCAAACCAGGATTTAATCAGAGCTATCTGTAACCGCAACTCAAGCAAGTTTTCCTGCCTGCACCGCAACCATCTTCAGTGTAAGTAAACAATCTTGAATGAACCATTACGTGTCCGTGCCTAATTCTAGCGTGTCGCCTGTTCTCTCCGATCCAGCGTGCCCGGACTGCTGGCCACAGCCCGCGCGGAGCGAAAAAGGGCCCGGATCGCACCCGGCCCGCACAGAGACTGTATTTTGGTGCGTGTCACAATGCACCAAACAAAGCAGCTGACTGTGGGCTTCTACCACACTGGTCACATAAGAGTAAATTTACCTCACATATAACGAATTTTTGGTATAAAAGGGTCATTGCATAAGATTGAATTCACATATACAGAACCTGTATAAAGCAAGGGAAGCCTGTATGTCGACTTCAGTGGGCCAGAGCTGAGCCCCCAGGGCCCCATGCTGCTGCCAGGCACTGCCAAGAAGAAGCAGCAGTGGGTGCTGTTCTCCAAGGCACAGACACTGGAGCTGGAGCAGCAGTTCCAGCAGCAGTGGTACCTGTTGGTGTGCTAACTGACCTGGGGCACCTGCTGCTGCTGCTGCTTCTTCTTGGCAATGCCCAGCAGCAATGCAGGGTTCTACGGGCTTGGCTCTGGCCCACTCTCGACCAATGCTGGGGAGGCAGGAACACAGGGAGGGGGTTAGAGCTGGGGCTGAGCTGATTGTGTCTGGGAGGGACTGGAGCTCCCACTTCCTTGGCCAGAGCTGTGCTGCACCACCCAGATATGTTACTGTGGGCTTCAGGGAACTGGCAGGCAGCTCGGTACCCCATGGCCAGGCCCTGGGCTGGGTGCAGCTGCCTCAAGTTGCTAGACATGGCTTCAGGGCTTGGGTGCACCCTCTGCTCACTTGGAGCAGAGCCACTTCTGGCTGCGATCTAGCAGCTTGGCTTCACACATGCTGCTGACAGACCCCGCAGCCCCTGAGCTTGCCCCGCACCTTTCTCTGCACTCCCCAGCCAGAAACATGCTCATTGGTCATACTGCCCCAGCCACTTTCCCAGCGTGGCACCCGCACGTCGCCCGCAGGGTCTGGCACAGCTGTGCGTGCAGGGAGGCTGTCCAGGGTGCTGCCCAGGGCAGGCTGCAAATGTGTTCACCCACGTTAAGGTACCTAAAGGCATACACCTATAGCTGTGCACCTAAATCCACTTAATGCGCCTTAGACTAAAGTGCATTAAGTTTAGGTGAATGTAAATTCACGTGTTGACATGCCCACAGTGACTAGCAGCCTGCCTCCACCTTTAAGAACCTCTTATATTATGGGAATCCCTCTTCTCTTCCTAGCCCATCTCTTCAAGCATACCTCCTAGGCTATCCCATAGTCCTGCCCATGCCTCTTGGTAGTCTCTTCATAGCAGATCTCTATGTCCAAATTAACACTGGGCTGCCAGGCTCCAAACCTTTGTCTGGACTTCCACCTGTCCAGCTTCAGCCCTTTTTATCTGGCTAGACTCCTTCAGTCCAGGTCCCCGTCTTTGGACCCTAACTTCCTGGGTCTCAGTCCCAGTAACAGAAAATACCTCTCAGGCACCCGACCTGTGGCCTCCTCCACTCCTGCATCCACAACTCAATCCTCTGGTTTTAAACAGTGTCAAAATATAAACACAAGCAAACCACTTTCCAACTGCAAGTCACCCCATTTTGGCTCCTTGCCTCACTAAACACCCTAAGCTCTCCAAGGCTTTCTCCATGCAGCCCTAGAGGAACACTTAGGCATCAACCACTCTGTCTCCTGCAGCCCTCTCCTTCAAAAGATCCTCTCCCTGCTGCCTGCAGGGTAAGATTCCTCTGCTAGCTCTCAGGTTCCAGGGGTTTCTGCTTTGCTTGATAATCAGGCTGACCCCTTACCCCTGTCCCCTCAGCAGGGGACACCCAATCCCCCAGAAGCCTTTACTACAGCAGCATAGCCTAGCAATATCCAGCCATAAAAGCCATCCTGGCATACTGTAGTAGTGTATGGTCAGGAGGGGGGCAGAGGGAGTTGAGCTGAATGGCACTCCTCTCTGGGATTTTTGCCATGGGAGGCACCTAGTAGAGTGCTGGAGGTAAGGAAGTGAGCAGGGCACCTGGGACAGCCACTGGGACCTTGTGCCATGGGGCTGGTACAGCCAACATGTAACAAGTCTGTCCCTCAGCTGCAGCAGCCTCACTGCACCCCCATACACTACACAGTGCAGGGCTGCCAGGCTTCTATGGCTGGGCACCACAGGGCTCGGCCTGTCATAGCAAAGGCTCCCAAGGGAACAATTATGGTGCCCTGTCTAATTAGGCTTCTGGGCAGGTGCCCTGCTCCTCCACCCTCGTTATGCTACTGCTTCTATGATGAATATGGTATGCTTAGTGGGGGGGCCACCATCTTTTCATAAGTGACAGTGGACATTTCAAGAGGCCTGGAGGAAAGAACCATTTTCAGAGTCCATTTCAGAGCTCGCTGAGGAGGCACACATGGAAAAGAGTATAAATCCCACGGAGATCCAGGAGTCTTTCCATACACAGATGGGCCTGAGCCAGACCCCTACAAGGCTGGAACTAGGACCAGGAATAGAAAGGAAAGGAAGCTTTTATAGGTGTACAAGACATATTTATTTCTATTTTGCTTTGAGAGACTCCAAGCCTCCTGCCCTCTTCCTCCCTCAAAATTCTGGCTATGTGCATGGAACTGGAAGATAAAGGAGCTGACTTTAAGGAGCACCTTATTTGGTTTTGTTTCTTAAGAAACAGGTACTAGCAGTAAAATAAGAGACTATTAGAATCACTTAGTAGTCATCATGTTTTGGCTGCAAGACAGAACTTCCACAACAAGAAAATGCTAATATAAATCAGTTCATTGCAAACAGACAGATATAGATTTAAACTGATACCTGAACATAACATCAATGTATGTAGTAAATTTAAAATAACCCCTGCAAGTAATCCAGTGTCAGGTCAGTGAGAAAACCTAATTTGCATGATTTGTATGAACTCATCAATTAACCTGTAATGCAAACACTACAAGAGACTGTGCTTTGGTTTTCAAGTCCAACTAATCAAGTCCAAAACAAATTGCTCTTGTGCAATGCTTGGCTGAAGGTAAAGATGATGTTGTTGGCTTAGCAGAGTTCATTTGCTTTGGTTTACAGACTCAGGTAGCATGGACAAGCCTACTCCTTTATGGAATCTTCTGGTGGTCTTTATACAAAAGGTCCGCTTGTCCTCGAAGATATTCTCAATAGAATTTTCCAGAAGATATTAGTTGATCCATTACATTATTTGAAAGGATAACCTTGTCTCTGCCACTGAGATAGGAGACCTTGATGTCACTCTGTTAAGGAGCAATTCTAGCACTATAACTGAACATAGTCTGACAGTAATGGGCTGGTACCTTCACAACACAGCATTATTGAATAAAACCATGAGTGGCAGCTATCACTCATTTTAAATTTAAACTGCTTTTCTAAACGCCCGTGACAATATACATAACATTGGGGTGATGCTATATCTGTGATGGTCCAGGAAATATGCAAGTAGGGTTTTTTTATTACATCATTTATTGGACCAACTGTATAGTTGGGAGAGATATTAAAATTGAAGAAGGTGGCTTCTCAGTTTTTATGGGGTCCTTCTGCATAGTTGTGTTGTTTGGTTCAGCCTGTGTGTTAGCCAGAAGGTTGCATAACATGGAGATGATGTTATTTCTTGCACAGGCTTAGGATGTAGATGTTTCTGTGTGGCCTGAAAGTGGAGAGATACCTGGGGAGTCAGATGTCAGACAGTTATAATGTGTCATAAATCCAATGCCTATATTTAGTCCACGATTTTTAGTATCCAGGAGGTTGATGAAGTGGAGTTCATAGGCTCATCTCTGGGAAGTATTTTGTAGGTTTCCTTTGAGGATCAGGACTGAGAGATTGGAGAGAGAGTGGTTTTCTTGTGAGAAATGTGCCCCCACAGGTAATTGGGTATTTCTGTCTTTGACAGATTTCCGGTGTGCATTCATTCTGGTGCGCAGTTGTTGTTTGGTCTCTCCTACGTATTTTCCATCAGGGCATTTGGTGCATTGGATGAGGTATATTACATTCCTGGAGGTGCAGCTGTAAGATCCAGGAATGCTGATGGCTCTGTTATGGGGTGTAGTAATTGTGGGAGGGGTGGAGATGTGTTGGCAGGTTTTGCATTTCTTGTCATGGCACGGTCTGGATCCTTTTGGTGTTCTGGGCTTGAGGAAGTTTGCTTCTGGTGATGAGGTTAGCGAGGTTCGGTGCTTGTTTGAAGGCTAGGATGGGTGGCTCTGGGAAGATCTTTTTAAGAATAGGGTCTCTGTCTAGTATGGGTTGCAATTGTCTGAGGATTTTCCATACAGGTTCAAGGGAGGGGTGATATGTCATAACCAGAAGAAAAACCCCTGACAAATCGCACACTCACTGGTACAAGTGAGAAGGGAAACTTGCCTTGGCCACATTCTGAGATTCCTGGATAACAGGCTCCCCAAACAAGTCTTGTTTGGGCAGCCCTAAGGCAAAAGGAAGAGAGTCATTCTAGAGGACCTTTATCAGCATATTAAAAACTAAACCAACAAAAGTACAGGTTAATAATCTAAGCAGATTTAAAAAGTGGCCTGTC